TGGTTGAAACGAGTACCTGGAGTATGCGCTTGAGCTTAATGAGACTTAGGTGAACGGGGAATATCCTCCTAAAATTACAGTCCTTTAGTTTTTCAAATTCCCGAGTTATCAACCTAGCCGAAAGAAATTTTGACGGGCCCGTGCGTGGGTATCACGCACGTGCACACACACGCACAAACACATGCGCGCACACACACGCACAGATACATGCACACGCACACACACACACACCCAAGAACTAAGTCTGAACACATTAATGCCCACTTGGACGGAGAACATCCCCTTAAGATTTCAGTTTTCTGCCTTCTCAGATCCTCGAATTACCAACTTAGCCGTAAAAAAATTTGGCGGGCCCGTGCGTGGGTATCACACACACCCAAGTGCTGGGTTTGAGCACATTAATACCCACCTGGACGAGGAACATTCGCTTAAGATTTCAGCCTTCTGCCTTCTCAGATCCCCGAGTTATAAACTCACCCGGAGAAAATTTGGCGGGCCCGTACGCGAATACTACGAATACCCGTGGGCTGAGTTTGAGCTCATTAATACCCGCTTGGGCGGGGACATCCCCTTAAGATTTCAGCTTTCTACCTTCTCAGATCCCCGAGTTATGAACTTGCCCGAAAAAATTTTGGCGGCCCGTACGCGGGTACCACGTTTACCCAGGGGATGGGTTTGAGTGCACTAACAACCACTTGGATGGAGAAAATCCTCTCAATGTTTCAGCATTCTAGCTTCTCAGATCCCCGAATTATGAACCTACTCGAAAAAAACTTTGGCGGAGTCTTACGTGGGTACCACGCAGGTAATGGCGCCCATTCTGGGATTGGGGCCCGTACGTACATATAGATTAAGTTCCCAGAGTTTCAGCTCTGTAGCTTTTGCAGGTCTTGAGATGAAAAACCGTGACAGACGCACACACAGACGCACAGACACACGGACACACAGACAACCCTTCGTATATGTGCGCTTTTGCATTGCATAACTGCAAAAAACGCATAAAAACACATAAAAACCCGTTTCGGCTTGGCCCGTCTCATTCACGAGCTGCAAAACACTTTTTCTCCCGATGGCTGATAGGCTACCCCACGACGGGCGGCAGCAGTTTAAATGTGGCAGGTGGGAGTGGGGGTGGTATATAGCGGGTTTCGTTCGAAGCAGGGAAGGAAGGCTGGGATAGGTAAATATAAGGACTACATGGCGTAGACCCTTTGTCGGTTGTCTAAGTAACGTACATTTGGAAGGGGAAGCGGTGATAAACGGAAAGGATGAGGAAATGTGCTCGTGATTTTTACCGTAGATACCTGGGGTAGGAAAAGGTAAATACTGTTTGCTTGAACAGTGCTGTTATAGTAGGGAAGGAGAGGGGCCTAGATGTTGTTTGCTAGCAGGATTTGGGGACAGGGTAGAGAAGGGGAACAAGGATAAAATCAGGAGCTCGAGGCAAGAACTGGAGACAACAGTAAAGAGAAAAAGACAAAACAGCGCCACAAATAAAAATAAATCTGACTCTATGGATAAAAGCAAAAGAAACTGAGGTTTTGCTAGTGGAAACTGGTCCATAAAAACCCGTCATCAGACTTTCTTATTTATGAAACTGATGATTAGGTAAGGCTGAGAGCAAATGAGTACCACGAGATGGGCAAAAACAGGGTAGAATGGATGCCTGGGAATGAAGTCAGCCTTTGCTCCTGTGAGATTTTGAAGACAAAGAACAAAGGTATAACTGTTGTGCACAGCACTGTGGAATTGTTTGCAATTTTTGTGTAATCCAGTCGGACTTATTTGCCCTCAGCTTCATCTAAACATAAGCTTCAGTAAATCCTGTCGAACTTATTTGCCTTCAGTTTCACCAAAGCATAAACGCCATAAATGCAGGAACCGCTTAATGAAAACGGGTTTTTGTAAGATAAATCCTACTTGCATAAGCTCAGTTTTTGTTTACTTTTGCTGTTTTTGCTTTTGGTTACAAGCTGCAGTTCTTTGATTTTGCTTTTTTTCATTTTATTCACATGTTCAGGTTTAATTTACTTTTCGCTGTAGTGCTGTGTTGGTTTATTTTCCTCCACTGCTCTCTGCAGTTCTTGTTTCAAACTCCTGACCAGCACCCTTCTTCCTCTCCTGTATCCTGTCCCCAATCCCTGCCTCCACAGCCGCATCGGGGCACCCACCGCCTCCAAGCACTGTCACCGTTTATCGTCCTGAACTCCTAACCAGCAACTTCATTTCTTCCCATCATCCTGGCCTCAGTCGCGCCCTCTGAACTATACCTAAACAGCTACCAACAAACACCCCCAACCACGTTGAATCCTCCAACCTGCCACTTCTGCGTCCACGTAATCCAGCCGCCAGACACTGCGCAGGGCTACCCAGCGAAGTTCCAGCCAGCGGCGCCGCGAAATAGTGTTGGCAGAGATGTTAGAGCAAAGCGCTGGAGAGCCCAAGCATCATAGATCATCAGCTGGGTCGAACTGGGCCGATCTGAGCTGAGCCGAGTTTTTATGCGCTTTTTGCAACTGTGCAGTGTAGATAATTGGCCAACGCACGGGCTGCCGGGGCGAAGATGCGTTTTTTGCATGGTTCCCCGCAGTTTTTTTTGCTACTGGCACCGGTTTTTTCGGCAAATGCTTCTAGCTAAACAAATTAAGACTGGCCAC